TGTAATATTATTTTATTGAAAAATGTGTGGTTGAAATGATATCAAATCACTGTTTAAGATTACATTTTTTTTTGAATAATTTGACTCAAACAGACGCTAGGAGTGAAAACTTGAATAAGTCAAGAAGTCAATCGAATCATGTTGACTGATTTTATTGTTTTACTATGAAGTTCAGGTGATTACCCCTTTGCATTACAAGAAATCAAATCTTAATTTGTGAAAACACATTTTTTGCTGTTCGTACAACTCTAACGTGCAAACATTGCTGCAAGTGTGTTCTTCACTCTCTTTTCAGGAAGCTGTCTACTTCTCAACTATAAAAGAAAAGATAATTTCAAACAAAATCATTCATCCTTTTGAGGCGTCAATGACGTAATCTTAACACTCCTCAATACTTTGTATTGACACCAGAGTGTCCAAAAAGCTAACATTTGGGAATAGGCCTCGTGGACTATGGTCCGAGGTCCACGATGGGTACCCGATGACTTGAGTTAGGTCATTGAGACACGAGGCAAGAACATCAACATTTAGACACTAATTGAATGTGAGAGGAACGGAAAGAAATACTAAATTTTTTGTCATTGTAACGAGTGTAAAAAATGTGAACTCAAATACAAATTCTAATTTGGATGGGGTCATCTCTTGTGCGCGTGGCCACGAACGCACATCCTCTAAATCCGTCTTGGTAGGTAAGTTGCATTTTCTCTTCCGTCTAGCTCAGGTATCAGTGCGAATTGCCACCGTATCAAGTCTCCTTTTCACATTTCATTGCTAAAATGCCAATTAAGCTCAAGGTTTTTTTTTTTTTTTAAAGAAATACAAAATATCGTAGAATTTTGGTCTAAAAATAACTAGCGAAAGTATAATAATGGACGAGAAATGAGTGTAGATCTACGCTCATCAACAGGTAAATATATTAATTCAAATTCGTACCCCTTTCTTTACTTTACTTTAGTCCTAGATTGTCACTTATTTATATTATAAACATAATCGGTTAACTACTTTTATCTATAAGCATCTATAAATTTTATCCACTTATCCATCACTGCCGTCTATCTATTTATAATTTAAACATACCATAATCTATTCCCGGACATGAATTTTCATAATCATTTCTTCATTCGCTTTTATTAAAGTTCATTTGTACATTTGTTGAAAATCTACTAATATATGTGAAATAACATGGATTAAACTTTAAAGAGTACAAATCATAATACATATTAAAGAACTTTTTACTAATATAAATTTGTATTAATTTCTGAATTTTGGTCTTTCTCAAAATATACATCTATAGCCATTTGAAAATATACAAGAAGATTACCATAATCCTGAAGATTGCTTCTTGATAAGTTGAAGAGATGTCAGAATCCACTTCTGCCCATTTCCTCCCATTTCCTTGTGTATCGTTTATAATTTCTTACCTCATTTCGTAAAGCACACATTTCAAGTTCCAACCTCTAAACATGGGCAAGTACCATAAAAGTCATAATATGCAAACAGGACTTCTCCAGCTTGATTTCTAAAGCATCTGTGATGCACTCCATTGAAAACAATTTAGGTAACATCTACATAAAAATGTATGAATAGACACTTTAGTTCAAATTTCATCCTCAATTAATTTCGTGTATGATATAAGTTTCATCTAGGGATGGCAATGAGACGGGTCTGGGATGGATCGACCATTCCTACCCCCGTCTTGTCGGGTATTTTTGTTATCTTATTCTATACTTATACCCGATTAAAGTAGGACAGGACGGGGTGGGACAAGTCTCCTACCCCATTTATTTTTTTCTCTTTATTTTTTGCTTTTATTTTTTATGTTCTTAGTTAGTAAATAATATTACTTTTTTACCAATTTGTTAAAAACAACTTATGTTATCTATAAAAAGGATGATAAATATATTATTTTTGTTTGATAAAAACTTAAATTTGAAATTAATATTAAATGGGGCAGGGACTAAGTTTCCCGTACCTGTCCCATACCCACTTCGGGGCAATGACCTTCACTCCATACCCATCCCACGTACCCGTCCTACGGGTGTCTGGTTGAACGAGTTTTTTTGCAATTCCTAGTTTCATCTCTAATATATTTTAAGAACAAAGGGAAAGAGAGAAAAATATTAAATTATAGTGACTCATTCTGTGGAGAAGAGTCTCTATATATAGTTGTTCTCTTATCAATGTTTACTTTTTTCTTGAAAACAAGACATAGTCTAAACATGTTGCATTGGATGTTTTTTATTGCAATCCACGTTAGTATTGGAGATGCTCAAGTGACCTTACTGGCTTAATTAGTGCCTAGGACATTCAAGTGATTCAATTATACAATCCAAAACACTTGGCTTTCAGTCATGTCACAGTTTTCAAATTCTCACAGAAAGGAGAATATTGTTGGGAATTTTCCAAGTAAAATATTCATAGCTATTTATTCTTTCCTAGTCATGTTCATACTTTTTTTTATAATATAATGACCAGCAGAAATTATTAGTTGAAATTAACTGGACTATTTACCTACTTTCTATTTTCTGGTTAATTTCTTTAATTTTCTGGTAGTCAGTTGCTTTGCTTGCTGGTGAACTGTTGAAATGTCACATATAATATTGTTGGCAAATCTCTCTCTTTTCATATTTGCTCTCTGCTTACTCAAACTGGTCATCTATATTTACAAAGAGAAGAATAGTGTATAGGCATACGGACTAGAGAAAGAGATCAAGATCTCGGTTTTGCGTAGGAATTTAAATAATCACTTCAATGGCTTCAAAATTGTTAATGATCATTGTCTTTGTTTTCGATCTAATTGCTTTTGCCTTGGCTGTTGCTGCTGAGCAAAGAAGAAGCACTGTAAGTCTCTCTTTCTTTCCCTACTTTCTTAATTGATTTATTCATCTATCTGCATAGGGATATCCATATAGCATTATTCGTATCAAAATCGCCATATATATATTTTCTCAGTTATAATTATCAAGTTGCGGAATCTAATTATTGTCGAGGTGCGGAGGGAGTAAGCAAATCAACCTCCAGACAACTTTGGAATTTTGTACTTTTAATTTCGGTTTTGCCCTAATTTGTCTTGTAAGTGGGGAGTCGTCATTAAAATTTTATATTACCATCATAAAAGAAAAGTTTAAGAAAATAATATTTGTGATTTTGTCTTGTAAACTTCTTTCATCACGGTGAAATCCTACAGCGGCAGATGCGACGGAGTCTCGTGAATCTCCATAAATCTTGTGTGTTCTTGTGCATCTATTTTTCTTTATGCGAACTAACTGTTCTGGATGGAATAAAACTACGGTTTCTAATTCTCAACAGGAGACTTTGCAAGGCACGTGCAGGTTTAATAAATTCCCATAAAATGAAATATGAATTTCATGCAACAAGAATCTTGTTCCTAGCATAGACATGAATGAAATCTCGATAGACTCTTTTAGCAACGCATATGCATTCCAGAATTAAGAAATTTCGATGAACTGAAATCTGAAATTCAAGCAACAGGAATATTGTTCCTAGGTTGTACATGTCTAGCTAGCACCTTTTCATGGTTCTCAGTAAGAAATTTTTTCCTAACTTCTTGATCATGCCGATATTGTCAGGCCACGATAAAGTTGGATAACGAGAGAAATTATAACTATTGCGTATATGACTCCGATATTTCTACTGGATTTGGAGTCGGCGCATTTCTTTTCCTCATGGCGAGTCAAGCACTCATAATGTTTACCAGTAGATGCTTCTGCTGCGGCAAGGCTCTAACTCCTGGAAGTTCGAGGGCGTGTGCAGTTCTTCTTTTCGTTTTTTGCTGGTACGTGCTCATTTCAACCATACAAAATCTATTTTCCGTAAGAAAATTTAACATCAAAATATGCAAAATTGTGATTCAGGGTGACATTTTTCATTGCTGAGGTTTGCTTGCTGGCTGGATCGGTGAGGAATGCTTATCACACTAAGTATAGAACGCGGTTTTTTGAAAACCCTCCTTCTTGCGAGACGGTGAGAAAGGGAGTTTTTGCAGCAGGAGCGTCTTTCATTTTCTTCACCGGCATTATCTCTGAGTTTTACTATATTTCTTATTCCAAGGCTCGGGGAAGCCCGGGACCATATGGAGGAGAAGCTGGAATTGGTATGGGACTGTTTAAGTGAGTTAGATAAAGCCTCCAGGGTACGCTCTCTGCATCATATTGGATTTTTGGTTTGCTACTTATCTTGGTATAGGAGTCTACTATAGTTGAAAAAAAGCATAAAATTCATATACTTATTTCTAATATTGATACTTCTATGACCCTGTAAAATTTTTCCTTGTTATGTGGATGTATTATCTGTATGAATCTCTTATTCTGTTACTTTACATTACAAGAAACTTGAGCAATAGATGCCCTCCGTGAGTAGATTATCGAATTTCATGTCTGGAATTACCGCGTAGTTAGTCATTTTCGAAAATCAGCATTGTATGTAAGTGTGCACGTCTACCCCAATGCAACTTCTATTGAGATTTTGCTCTAACGTGAAATCGAACAAAGTCAAATATTAAAATAATGATCTCGACAAAAGATAGGGACAATTAAATAAGGGCCTCAACCATCAAGATATTTTCTTCTTCTTCATGCCAATAACTTGATGAAGTGAAAGCAAAAATGTGGGATAATAATTACATTTCAATAAGTTCATCAAGTCCGTTAAATTTTTAAATGGTGAATGACGGATTAAATAACATTAGATAAATTCAATGACAATTCGAGTATCTTTTAAAATTTAAAGGTAACTGAAGTGCAAAATTTTTAGATGGTGAATGACGGATTAGATAACATTCTGATAAATTCAATGACAATTCGAATAACTCTTAATGGTAACTGAATTGCAAAATCGAGTGACTATGAATGAAATCAATGTAGTAAAACGCTTGTTTACGTTTTCTGGGGGAGAGTTCTCATAGGCCATGGGCCCTTCACTGGGCTTCTGTACTGGAGGCCCAAATGTGAAAGAAGCTGAGACACTGTACCGCCAATGTAAACATACACACTCGAAGCTCCTGAGAAAGAACACTCCAAGGCTTGAAAATGGAAATGGTTATGCGAGTTTTAGAAATTTAGCCCGGGTTTGGTTTAACTATAAAATTAGATTTTTCATAGATTTGGTTAAAGTTAATAAATAATGTGACTGAAAACTTGATAAAAGTTGTGAATCTCATGAACCGTATCGTTAAAAATGAGTTTCGAAAAGAAAGAATGTTTTTACAAGTGAAGGCCAAACAGTGATTTAATTTCAGTTTGTTCTAAATTTTTGGCACAAAACTTTAAGACCGTTTAATGGTCATCTGACAATTGCTAAATATACTTGATTGGCAGACCGCAGATACATTATTCCAGCGAGGATGTCAAGCCTCCAATTTCTTCAATCACTGAACACGGTTTTGCCCTTGATTCATGCTGAAGTGGAAAAATGTCTTTACTAAGCGTTTGTTTGGTAGGAATTAAAATCAAATTTTTAATAAAAATTTTGATACAAATTGATGAATTATATGGTTGAAAAGTTATGGATATCATAAAATGTCTGATTAAAATTAGTTGTTAACTTTAACTTAAATTAAAATCTGAATTTTAATTTTTATCAAACGGGGGGCTAAAATAGTATGTTCGCCAAGGGGAGGGCTTTTGCCGTCAAATCCAAAAATCCACAAACAACATCCCAACCAACCCATTGTTTCCATCAATCCATATACACAGAGCCGTCGCCGCCGCCGCCGCCGCCGCCGCCACCCAACTAACGTTTTGTTACCTCTTAGCCTTTTGCCGTGAAATGCGATTTTGTATATTTAACAGGCGGCTATCTCAGTGCCAAACATTATAAAGGTCAAAATTATAAGCTTCAACTTTTCAGTACGTGCTCTTATCATGGGATTGGGACCAAATCTCCATTCAATAATTCAACCGACAACAAAACAGAAAAACAGAAAAATGCAGTACATAAGTTGCATCGCATTTCATCAGCTTTTTGCTGTCCTTCAATTAATGTTTTTTCAGATCTCTTAAGTAGATTATTAGTAACAAAAAGTAGACAAAAAATAATAAGAATTCATGTGACTGATTTCAGATTTATTATCGTTGGGATATGCTTATGAGCAGCAGGTCCCAGTGAATATGTAAAAATATATATATAAAAATTATGGATTTTAAAAAATGTGTAATTAAAATTGTTTGTTTGATCAACTTATAAGAAATTTAAAAGCTATTGCTTTATAGATTTGTTGTGTTGTTATTTAGCTTATATTGTAACTTTGCATTGCGCGTTGCTTAGCATTCTTCATATGCCATACTCATTGCAATTAGCATTGTGGCTATTGACCTATAAATTTTAAGCTCAAACTTAGAATGAAAAGACTAATGATGTGAAAATGATAAAGAAGATAAAGTTTCGAAAAAATAAAAAATAAAAAAATTCGCATTAGTGGAGTTCAATAAAGAAAATCACCGGTGTAGAGAATCGCAGTAGATTTATCGACTTATTGAAAAGTTTTCCTTTTATACTTGTAATTAAGGATAGCAACGAGCCAAATAAGACTATGAGAGAATGGGATTAAAACACCTCAACTAGAATTCCGTTTAATTAATATTTATTTTTAATATTACTTTATTTTTATATATGATTTGTATTTTGAATAATAGAGCCCTGTTTGACCTACATTCTTTTAAAAAAATATTTTTAAATAGTAATTTGACATTATTTCAATCACGTATTTTTCAATAAAATAATATTACATACAAATTCAAAATTTTTATTTATTTTTTAACCACATAATTCTCATCAATACACTATTCAAAAATGTATTCTTAGGAAAATAACGTGACTCAAACAATAGCATAAAAAGTTAAAAAGATTCGAAAGGATTCGGTGAATTTGAGGTGGGGACCATATTCTCCATTTCCATCCCGATTGTCTAATGAATCGAGAATTTCAAGTCTCATTCACGATAAAACAAGAGTAGAAGACGAAACGGGATGGGCTGGGACACGTGCTATTTTGCCATCTTCTTCTATTATAGCAATTTTGTATATCTATACTCGCTCAAAAGTAAAACATGACTGGAATTAGTATCAAGCGTTCACAAACACACTTTTACATATCTGTCCCATGAGAAAGGCACGATTTTTCCCAGCTCATATGTACCAATCAGCCAACTCATCTAAAGACTAAACCAAATTGAATACCAATACTATTTTTTATTGCTTACGTTTTAAAAGTCCGATGCCCGTATGATCTTGTCTTTTGGTCCCTATGCTCAATCACTGCGCTGATTTTTTTATTTAACGTAAGAAATATATTAAACTCATTCATGACTAATTTTGTGGAAGCAAAGAACAAGAGCATTTCACGTGTTCAAAAGAATCGAGGATTTAATTTGTCTGAGATTTTTCTAAAATTATTTATGGGACTCACAATTTTTTTCACTTTTTAGCCCCCATTTAAGCCCCATTATTTGTAGATTACAATGAGATGAATATTGTATTTTTAAAAAAATGAGTGGTTGAAAATTTTTCGATTTACGTGTAATATTATTTTATTGAAAATTGTGTAGTTAAAAGTAGGAGAAAGAAAAATTTAATTTAATGTAATGAGAAATAATGGGTCTCAAATAGTCAAACGGGGGCTAAATCACATGTTCTTTTAAAAAATTATTTTTTCTTTGAAAATTTTGTGTACTAAGGTTTTAATGTAAATAGGTAATTAAAAAGTCAAAATCACACAAAAATGTTATCGTAATTTGCCGATAACTTTACGTCAAATCAACTTAATTTATTGTTATTTCGACTCATAAGTAGTTAACCTTCATATTCACTTCTCTTCAAGTGTGTGTTATTTGCGTGCTTGAAAGGTGCCATCAGATGCACAAGATCACGTCCTCTTCAAAATCCCGTCCAAAAGGATAATCAGAAATATGTTGGGTGCAGGAGTGACTTTTTAAGGATAGAAACTATTAGAGTCGGGTTTAAACTGGAGAGAGAAATATTAAATTGTTGATTATCATTTGATGACACTAAGTGTGAGTTTTATAAACGAGATAAATTAATGGACGTTCCTTGGATATTTGACATGTGGTCTCATCCCAATCGTCACTCTTAAAGTTTCATCATGTCACAATATCGCATCCTAAGCATCAATAGGTTCGTGACCCCTCTCACTGTCCTAAAAAAGAATGTACACACTAAACTCGTCGAAAATAATGTAACATCAATCATTTCTAACACGACTCTATAAGTTATAATCGCCATTTACACAAGAGTTGAGGGTTGACCCTGACACTGCAGTTATAGAGGCCTGGGTATGCTTAAGAATTAAAAATTCATAAATCGTCTCAAAAGATAAGCTATCGACTCAAGAGGCTTTAGGTACCATCCTTGCTTAGTTGACAGACACAAAGAATTTAGGCATAACACAAATTTTTACAAAATGTATCGTTATATAATCATATTTTATAGACAATATATGAAGAATATTAGCAAAGGATTCTCCACAACTATTCTTACCTACGCACTTGAAATGCACTTGTCGAGTAGGTATTATGTCATTTTCTTTGTTTACCCCTTGACAACGTATTCTACTAATTGCGTGCATAATTTATCTTATTGGTTATATTAATCCATCAAATGAGCTAAAGTATGCATAAAAAAAGAATTATTATCTCCTAGTTACCTAAACGTATTATCGTACTAACAAAATTGCCCTCATTTGCAATTGGCCCTCGTTTGGCCTCCATTTTGAGGAAATGAAAACGTGTGAAATAATTTTTTTTAAAAAAATAAGTGGTTGAAAAAGAAGGAACCGCATAATATTATTTTATAAAAAATTGTGTGGTTGAAAATAGAGAAAAAAAAAATGAGATCTAATAGAATTGAAATTAATGGAGCCAAACAGGGGCTCACATTGATCAGGTTCCAAGAAGAAAAAATAAATTAAAGATTCATTTGACATGACTTTTACTTATTATTGAAGAGTTTCCCGAGAAAACTACATTAATCTTTTGAAAATTAATTTTTAAAAAAACTTCATATTACGAAAGAGCTTTTAGAAGAACATTTTTAGCCCCATTTTTATTTTATTTTTTTTGTCAAAAATGTATTTTTGAATTGTATTTTGATGGAGAATGTATAGTTGAAAATTAAGGAAATTTTTTAGGTTTATTGTTTACGTGTAATATTATTTTATTGAAAATGCGTGATTGACAGTAGGAGCAAGAAAAATATATTTTAAAAATATTGAAGATAAAATAAGGGCATAATACATTGTATGCATTGTCAAACAAATATGCATCTGTTCCTATCTGCATGTTGTCAACTTGCAAGTGGCGTGATTCGTGCATATTTTCCAAGTATAAGAAGAAAGGCCTTTTGATAAGTAGTGGATATTTTATTGCTCAAGTTGCATTTTCTTGTAGGGAACTACGTCTGGATTTTCGAGGGGAAAAATAAATAAATAAACAAATTTGTTACACGTGGACTGACTTAGTACTAGAAAACGAATTGGCCCTGGCCATCCTGGCGCCCCCTATAGGTGGGGACCCCGTTGGGCGGCCTTGATCCTAGAAAATACATTGGAATTAATTATAGGTAACTAGGAGTAGGTTGTGTTCGTCCTACCTAATAAACCTAATAATTAATAACCATACTACATGTAAAGATGATTTTCATAGAATTTTTTTACCAATGGATACACGGTAGAATTTCATTGATCTTAATCAAAACAAGCATAAAAATGCACAACGCGGGTGATGACAACTTAGCACTTGTATGGTGTCTGTGAACAAATTTGGCGTGTTGTTGAGAAAAGTAGTTAAAAAGTCATTTTTAAGTACCGCCAGACATCGAAATATCACATTGTTGATTGAATAAAATTGGTACTTTAAGTTAACACTAAAAAATGGAAGTTGAAAATGTAATACAACACGTGAAAATGATATTTCTAATATACTAGAACAGGAATTGAGATGGATGTTGTATAAAGTTTATAGATGTTAATATAATAATTAGTTTGAAAAAAATCTATTTTAACTCTAATTCAAACTCCAATAATCCGAAAACTTATTATTATTTTATAGTACAGGGGTTAAACATTGCAGGTCTGTTAATTTTTAATTGAACCCCTCAATTAAGTTAATTTTAGTTTTAATATTAGTTAAGTATCTTTGGAATATATATAGAGAAATAATTGCATGTGCTTCATGCAAATTCAGCACAATCCAATTCAACTTATGAAATGCATTCAAGTAATCCACTACAATTTATGGTTTTTTTTTTTTTTTTTTTGGCCAGCAAATCAAAATCATTACAACAAACGATTAAGGAGGCATTTGTTTCTTATTTTTATAAGAATGAGAATGAAAAATATAGTCGTTATGAACCCCTACACAAGAGATAAAAATTCAAATTTGGTGGCTTGATGTGATGGATTACGATCATATTTTTCATTTTAATGAG